TTGGTTGGTATACAACAAAATACTTAACACTATTGATTATAAAGTATTATAAGAGAAATATAATCTACAGATTGGTTACAAACGGATATTGACAATACTACACAGTTGCAAGTTTTTCTGTTTCTTAATGCTAATTTATATTCAGAAATTTACGAATTATCGATGATATAGATAATATCACAGATTTTTGTATGGCCCTTCGCTTTTCTACCATGTTGAGTTTTTCCAGGCTAGTGTTCAATGATTTTGGAATAACTCCTGTTGTCGAAATTATAACTGGAATCACCTCTACTTTTTCTAATTTCCACAAATCCTTGATCTCGTATGCTAAGCTCTGGTATTTTCTGTATTTCTCCATATAACAATCTTGAAGATTGTGAGTATTTGGTACGCCTATTATGTCCGGCCTGTTGTGTGGCATTGGATGGTCCGTCAAAACTGATCGGTCCCAATATAGCTTGCTCGTTCTGTTTTCAATTACAGCGTCTGGAGTATATTTAAAGTACGGCAGCTCTTCCGTTACTAGCTTATGTTGTATCGCTAGACTCTGGTGTACAATTTTTGCCACCTGGTTATGTCTGGTTAAGTATTCGGTGGCTGCTAACGTGACACAAGCTCCTGTGATGTGGTGGATGGTTTCTGTTTGCTTTTGGCATCGTCTGCATAGGTCGTTTTCAACGGAAGCACGCATAATATATTTCGAGTAGTTTCTAGTCGCAATAACTTGATCTTGTATAGCGATCATAAAACCTTCAGTTTCGGCGTAGATACCGGAGTGAATTAACCATTCGTTGGAAGCAGCGTTATCTACTTCAGGAGCGTCTAGAGCATGTGGATATCTGCCATGAACCGCTTTCATTTTCCAGTCTTGCATGAGCGACTGGATATGTTGCGTTCCTGATATTAATTCGATTGCAGAAAATTCACTAAGATTTAATGGTGAATATTTTAAATCGGCTTTGCACACGGTTTGGAGTAGGCTGTTCTCTTGGTTGTGGAAGTATAAACGAAGGCTTTGTTTACACTTATTATGTAATTGCTTAATGTCTACCATCCCTCGATCTCCCTGTCGACGTGGCAAGTAGAGACGTTCTACTGCCGATTTTGGGTGATGCGTGCCATACTTTGTCAACAATGTCCTTGTTGCTCTCTTGACGTTTTCCAGTTCTGTTTCGGACCATTTTACTACACCAAAGGTGTATGTTAAAACCGGTATCGCAAATGCGTTAATGGCTTTAAAAAGGTTATTCCCATTCAATCATGATTTCAGCAAGCTCTTCACTCTTTGGAGGTATTCACTAGTTATGGCTGAAACTATTTCACTGTGCTGCATCCTCCTAGCCTGTAAAATACCAAGGTATTTATATGTGTTGCCTTCTGTCATTGAGTCTACAGTTTCATGAGTCATTAATTCAAATTCTCGCCTTATAAGTTTTCCATTTTCCACACTTAATCTTCGATATTTTTCTACTCCAAACGACATTTTTATATCATTTGAAAAATCTTCTGTTTGTTCCAGTAGCGTATTCATTTGACGTTCATTTGCAGCATATAGCTTTATGTCATCCACGTACAGTAGGTGTGAAAGTCTATATTGCGATACACGCGGTGCTTTTAAACTAAAGCCGTAGTTTGACGCATTTAGTATCGAAGAAAGTGGATTTAGCGCCAGACAAAACCATATCGGACTCAAGCTATCTCCTTGGAAAATACCTCTTTTAATAGGTATGGGAGCAGTTTTTATGAGTCCGTTATTATGAAATAGTTTTAAAGTAACTTTCCATGAGTTCATAAGTTGCTGCGTACGACGTTTTATGTTCGGCGATATTTTACAAATGTCTAAAACCTCCAAAAGCCAAGAATGCGGAACAGTGTTAAAGGCTTTTTTGAAGTCGATATAAGATGTATAAATATTTCTTTGATTATGGTATGCTTGCTCCATTATGACTGTATCAATTATCAGCTGCTCTTTGCAGCCTTTGCTGTTTTTAACACATCCTTTTTGTTCGATGGCTAGAATGTTGTGCGTTTCAAGATGAGTACATATTTTTTCGGCTAAACAAGATGTAAGAATTTTATGTAGGGTACATAGGCACGTGATGGGGCGATACTTAGAAGGGTTCTTCGTATCTTTTGGGTCCTTTGGTAGCAGATATGTACATCCCTTCATTAAGAAGTTCGGTACTTGGGATTCATGTTTGAGGAATTTTGTAAAGTGTTGAGCTACCATACTGTTTGTGCATGTAAACTTTTTTAACCAATAATTATAAATACCATCTGGCCCTGCAGCCCGCCAATTTTGAGTGCTCTCTACAGCTTTTTTGATATCGGCCTCACTGAAAGTCGCGTCTTCCATAGCTTTTATAGATTCCGATCTCTTGTACTCATCGTGGATCCACGCTGAATCGGTTGCATGTTTGGTGCTGGTTGACCATATAGACTTCCAGAAGCTTTCGATTTGCTCGGAGCTAGGTACTTCGGTTATATCTTCAGTCTTGTTGCGTTTAAGGTTTCTATAAAACGGTTTGACTTAACAGCTAGTTTTTGGCGGATAGTATCTAGGTATTGTTCAGCTGTTTGTTTCGACGGATCATGTTTGGAGTGCTTTTTATTTTCGAGTTTAAAAGTTTCATACCAGTTACGCATCTTTTTCGTCCGGTTTCCGTTCATGTACTGTATTAGCCGACCAATTGTAGCTCGTAGCTCTTTTATTTGAGACGCCAGTCTGTGTTTCCATGGCGGATCGACTGACGTCTTTTTGGGAGGTATTCTACGGCTAACAGTTTTCCCTCCAGTGAAACGGATAACGGCTGTTGCAGCCACATATATTGCAGTCTGCAGTTCTTCAAACGTGTAATTATTATTTAAAATAAAAGTAGGCAATATTTCTTTGTTCATAATAGAAGTCGCTATAGCCAAACTTTTTGTAGCTTTTTGTTTGGGAAGAAATGG